TGAGAATTTCAAAAGAGTTGAGTTTTCAGATTTTATAGTTCTTCTTTTTAAAGAGAGAAGGATTAGTCAATAAGATATGAAACTAATTCATAGAGTAATAATAAGAATAATAATGGTAATAATAGTTTTGATAGAAAGAAATGTAGGTATTTGAGGCTTGAGTTAATTTTTTGATGGAAATTAAGTTACATGCAAATTTTGGTATGTAAAGAACATCATGTAGGGTTAGGTCATCGCATAGTTTTATTGTACCTTTATATATTGAGTACCTTAAGGTTCCATTAAGTAAAGAAACAGGTACTGCGGGATCTAGTTTAATGGTTTTAGTAAGAAAGCTAAAATCATGACATGTTTGTGATGTTGCACTTGTATCGATTATCCATGTACCTGCATCATTCGATGTGTGTAAAAAGTAGTACTTAGATTGATTTCCTGCAGGGCCGGAGTAACCCGCACATCCTACTAATTCCATTGTGCTTGTTCCCTAACTTTTCATGTATTTGCTGATTTTTCGTTGCATAATGTTGGTTATTTTTTCATTCCAGCATGCTATGATCGGTGTTTCGCCTTTAATGTCACTGGGGCTTTCATTTGAAACATCATTTGCTTTTTCTTTGCCATTTTTTTCCTTTTTAGTTATGTGAACCATTCGGGATAGCCGTGGAGTTTGAAGCATGTGTCTCTAGCGTGTCATGTGCTCTTGTAATGAGTGCATATTCTGTTGTCTTCGTCATTCTTTCAGTTCTGTGGCCTTAGAGTTTCCTTTGGGTTGGCATAAAAAACGGCCGATATCCTTTCAGATACATTACTGATTTGTACTTATTCTTTTTTTTCAACACTGAGTACCATAGAGTAGGCTTTGTTAACTGTGGGTAATGGTTCCATAATCAAGATTTAGTTTCTCACATGACCGTATGTGTCATTAAGATCTATCAAAAATTGAATCAAATTTTTTGTGTTATCTATTTCACTATGCAGATTAGCGGCACTGCAGATTCATGCAGGTAATGGTTTTAAATAACTCGGTTAATCCCAAAAAAATTTTAATTATGTAAAATAAACAACGAACAAAAGGCTTGATTGAGTAATAGAACTAATTTCTCGTTTTAATTGATACAACAATGGACCATTGTTTTCTCAATACCTTTCTTTGATTTAGCCCATAATTTTTTTTTGCATATGTGGTGTATAAGGAGGTGCTGGCGCCTTGGTCATTGAGTTGAGGATCCAGGACACGACCATGCTATCTACCTTTTGCCAATGTTCATATTCTGCTGTGTTGGGGACTGGTTTCTCAAATCTGCCATCAACGAGAGCTAACTTATCTTTACCTCTTAGATTAATCATCATGGCTTTACTCCAAGAGAGGTAATTAGAGTCATCAAAAGGTACGGAGACCAGCTGCATTCCGGGCTTATATGAGCTTTGGAGGTTCAGCATGTCGGTAGTAGGATTTGGGTTTGGATTAAACATTGTAAGGTTAGATTACCGATAAAAATTTAATAAAACAGTTCTTAGTACATACACTACTCTGATACCATGTACAAAAAGAGTGTAAATTTTGCTGTTTTTATGTATGTATTTCATTATGTACAGGTGGGTATTTATATTCACAATGGGGAAGAGGGACATGCACAAATAGAGAAAAGGAAACAAACCCTAACAAATTGCTTAACAAACCAAAAACAAAAATAAATTCTAGAATCTACTTTTACAGCTGTCCACAACAGATAACAACTTTTAATCTCCATCGTCCACTTGCCCTAAATCCCAGCATTCTTTTCATATGGCCCTTCATTTTCAGCTTTCGATATCAACCGTCCATTTATTCCAAACCCTAGCAGAATCCACAGCTAGTCTTTCTCTTGTGAACGGCTCCGCTGCGAGACGGGTAAGCCGTGTGATGGGAAACCTTCCCGTACGGTTCGAAGAGCACTGAATTAGAAGGAGAGGTTCACCACCACATCATTACATGCGAGGGGAGCTCCACTCTCCGTTAACTCCCAATATATACAAGTATATACACTCTTGAGAAAAGGTGAAGAAAATCCACTGGAATGGGAAGAGTAAAGGGGAAGCATCGGTTGGACAAGTACTATCGGTTAGCCAAGGAACACGGGCACCGATCTCGAGCCTCATGGAAGCTGGTCCAGCTCGACTCCAAGTTCTTTTTCCTTCGTTCGGCACATGCTGTCCTCAACCTCTGCGCCGCCCCCGGTGGGTGGATGCAGGTTGTCGTTCAGTGCATTCCTGTCGGCAACTTTGTCCTCAAAATTGACTTGGTACCCAATACCCCTATTCGCGGAGCTGAAGTTATGGAGCAGGTCATCACCAAGCCCGAGTGCAATTTTTATGAGTCAACGACAGTCTCCTCGTTGACCAATCATGTTATGTTTAATGACAAGAACAATGTTTAAAGAAATAAATATAAATGTGATTTTTAGCAATAAAAAAACTTACTACAATTGTGAATGGTTGTACATCGAGTCCAAGATCACAAGTCCAATAAGTAGACTCAAAACTGTTGGTTTTTAGAATTTTAACTCAAGTTATTTGCAACAAATATGATTTGAACAATTCACACACTAAGCTCTTTACAGGATACGTTAGATCGATACTACATATTTGTATGAAAACTATTGATCGATTGATTTTGCTTTATATATATATATATATATGAATTTATTATCTTTTAATGGCTTATACATTGCTATATGTCGTTCGTGATCGCATATTTTCATACTTGTTTGAGTAACAGAATTGAAATTCTCCAATATTATGTTTGGAATAGCTAAGATTTTCAAAAGGAGACATCATGAATATAAGGATAGCTACGATTTTGAATAAGAGGTGTCATTCATTCGAAAAATAAAAATAAAATTTGATTCGAATAATCAATCAGCCATCATTGCGTCTTGCCGTCTACCACGCCTCTTCTTCTTCTCTTTTCGTTGTTCCTGCTTCATTGTTGCGTCTTGCCGAATCATCAATTAGGCATCACCAGAAGTCGCACCTCATTTTTTATTTTCAGTTTCTTCCACGCCATTTCATTATCATAAAATGAAAGTAATCACATGCCAAACCTATCTGGCCATCATCATGCCACAGGCCTCCGCCGCGCTCCTTTTTCATTTCTCATTGTGTCTCTCTCTCCTTCTCTGTCGATGTTTGCCGCTGAAGAAAAAAGAAAATAAGTGGCTCCAAAAACAACCACGTCCTATAGAAACCAAATAAGATTGGTTGCGTCAAGGTTGGGCCAAGGCTAGGGAAATTCTAAATTTTATGGGCTTGCATTTTTGGAGTGTTCGGATTCTTGTGCTTTGGTCGGATTTAAACAGACATTTTAGGGTCAAGAAAAGATTGAATAAGATATGTGTTTTAAAAGACATTTAAAGTTAGGCTATCGTTTAAAATGGGATTAGAGAATTAATTTGGAATTTAAAATAGCGATTCATACTTAAATTCTATACTTAAAATAAAGATTTCGAAAAAATTAAGTTTCTAAATTTTATAATTTTTCTTTTTAAAGAGAGAATGATTAATTAATAAGATATGAAACTAAGTCATAGAGTAATAATAAAAATACTAATAGTAGCAATTTTAAAAAATAATCATAGAATAATAAAAATGAATTCGAATTATAACTAGAAATATCATATATATATATATATATATAGTTACAGTTATGGGTAACAATAATTTATTTAGTTACAAATTTGTTAACTTCATAAAAAAAATGCGATTTGCAGCAGAATTTTTTGTTTTGGGCCCAAACTAATCAACCCAGCCTAAAGTCGATTGAAGTGCTTAGTTTCTCTATTTTCTGAAGAAAGAGTTGTGTACGTTTTTCTATTTTATTGTTTTTGTGTATGTATTTTATTATGGACATGTGCGTATTTATATACAGAAAGAGAAGAGGAGAATGCACTAATTGAGAAAAAGTAAACAAACCCTGACAAATTGCTTAACAAACTAAAAACAAAAACAAATCTCCATCATCCACTTGCCCTAAATCTCAGCATTCTTTTCATCTGGCCCTTCATTTTGTGCCTTCGATCTCAACCGTCCATTTTTTCCAAACCCTAGCAAAATCCACGTCCTATAGAAACCAAATAAGACTGGTTGCGTCAAGGTTGGGCCAAGGCTAGGGAAATTCTAAATTTTATGGGCTTGCATTTTTGGAGTGTTCGGGTTCTTGTGCTTTGGTCGGATTTAAACAGACATTTTAGGGTCAAGAAAAAATTGAATAAGATATGTGTTTTAAAAGACATTTAAAGTTAAGCTCTCGTTTAAATTGGAATTAGAGAATTAATTTGGAATTAAAAATAGCGATTCAGACTTAAATTCTATACTTAAAATAAAGATTTCGAAAAAATTAAGTTTCTAAATTTTATAATTTTTTTTTAAAGAGAGAATAATTAATTAATAAGATATGAAACTAAGTCATAGAGTAATAATAAAAATAATAATAGTAGCAATTTTAAAAAATAATAATAGAATAATAAAAATAAATTCGAATAATAACTAAAAATATCATATATATATATATATAGTTACAGTTATTGGTAACAATAATTTATTTAGTTATAAATTCGTTAACTTAAAAAAAAAAGATGCGATTTGCAGCAGAATTTTTTGTTTTGGGCCCAAACTAATCAACCCAGCCTAAAGCCGATTGAAGTGCTTAGTTTTTCTATTTTACTGTTTTTGTGTATGTATTTTATTATGGACATGTGCGTATTTATATACAGAAAGAGAAGAGGAAAATGCACTAATTGAAAAAAAGTAAACAAACCCTGATAAATTGCTTAACAAACTAAAAACAAAAACAAATCTCCATCGTCCACTTGCCCTAAATCACGACATTCTTTTCATCTGGCCCTTCATTTTGTACCTTCGATCTCAACCGTCCATTTTTTCCAAACCCTAGCAGAATCCACCACATCATTGCGTGCAAGGGGAGCTCCACTCTCCGTTAACTCCCTATATATACAAGTATATACCCCTGAGAAAAGTCGAAGAAAATCCGCTGGAATGGGAAAAGTAAAGGGGAAGCATCGGTTGGACAAGTACTACCGGTTAGCCAAGGAACACGGGTACCGATCTCGAGCCTCGTGGAAGCTGGTCCAGCTCGACTCCAAGTTCTCTTTCCTCCGCTCTGCACATGCCGTCCTCGACCTCTGCGCCGCCCCCGGTGGGTGGATGCAGGTTGCCGTTCAGCGCGTTCCCGTCGGCAGCTTGGTCCTCGGAATCGACTTGGTACCCATTGCCCCTATTCGCGGAGCTGAAGCTATGGTGCAGGACATCACCAAGCCCGAGTGCAAGGCGAAAGTCCAGCGTGTCATGGATGAGCATGGGGTGAAGGCTTTTGATCTTGTCCTCCACGATGGCTCCCCTAATGTGGGTGGCGCCTGGGCCCAGGAGGCAATGAGCCAGAACGCCTTAGTTATCGATTCCGTCAAGCTTGCTACTCAGTTCCTAGCTCCAAAGGGAACGTTTGTTACTAAGGTACTCATTTTCGGTTGCCCTGACCTTGTTCAGTATTTCCAACTTTTTGTCTTTCAGTCATATCTTCTGTTATATATCTAAAGGTTTCATTAAAGTGCTTTGTATATCGTTTAGTCTCAGCTACGGATTCTGCATGCTGCAAGCTCATTCGTTTTTTGTCTTGTCTTAGGTTTTTAGGTCACAAGACTACAGTTCTGTTCTTTACTGCCTTAAGCAGGTTAGTTTTATTTTGTCGCCTTCTCAACATTTTCTTGATAATCTGCTCTTTGAAAGTAATTATTGGTGAGCCTCGTGCTAAACTATTGTGGTACTGATTTTTCTGCAGTTATTTGAGAAGGTTGAGGTAGATAAACCAGCTGCCAGTCGTTCAGCGTCTGCAGAAATATATGTTTTGGGTTTAAAATACAAGGCCCCTGCAAAAATTGATCCACGTCTTCTCGATGTTAAGCATCTTTTCCAAGGATCTGTAGAACCACAGAAGAAGGTAATTTTGTTGTTTTGGAATATAAACAATAAATTGACTTTACTCAAATTATCATCTCACTCCAGTCCATTATGTTTTGATATTTATTTATTTCAAAAAAAAAAAATATGTTTTGATATTTATGATTTTTTTGTTGATTTTCTAAATGTAGGTGGTGGATGTGCTAAGAGGTACTAAGCAAAAGAGGCACCGTGATGGGTGAGCCTGCCTTCTTTGATTGATCTCATTATCTATGTTGTTTCCTCTTTCAGCCAACTGTATCTCATAATCTAGTGGTGTTATTTAATAGGAAACTAGGGTGACAACGGATGTTTAAAAATAGTGCTTTTCAATTGTTCATATTAACTGTGTTTACTTACTAAGTTTTATTTACAGTTATGAGGATGGTGCCACAATTTTGAGGAAAGCGACTTCAGCTGCTGATTTCATTTGGTCTGATGCACCACTGGAGATCCTTGGTTCAGTTACTTCCATAAGCTTTGACGATCCAGCTTCTTTACTTATTAAGGATCATAGTCTGACCACAGACGAGGTGTCGTCCCCGGCCCCTTCTTTGGATTCGAACTTTGAATCTTGTTTATTATCTTTCCATTTACCGTGTCTTTTTTTTTTCTTTTGACAGGTTAAGGCTCTTTGTGATGATCTACGTGTTTTGGCGAAGCAAGACTTCAAATACATCTTGAAGTAAGGAAGTCTGTTGCCTTATTTTCATTGTTTTGGAAGTTTATCCTTCTGTATGACATTTTTGAGTTTGAAGTTTTATTTAGTATATTATGGTTCATGGAAGGATAAGTCGAGCATGTATAGTACTTTGTATTCTCCCTTCCGTAACTATTTGCTATTTGATTCTATCCACGTCGCCAAAAGGAGTACCTATTACTAAGAATTCTGCGTTTAATGTGTTCAGTGCGTTGTGATATTTTTGCATAAGAATGCATAGAATCCATGGTACTGCAGTGGAAATCTGTGTCTGATTATGTGCATAATAAATCCCAAGTGATTTTAGCAAAGTTAACTACCAGTCCCTAGGAAGGCTTCTGTAGTCTTGCCTTTTACCAAAATGATTGAATTCTATATTTTACTAGGGTCTGTGATAAATTTCTGTCAAGTTTCAACATTTCGTTTGGATCTAATATATGTTCTTTAATCTGCTTGATACTGAAAGACAGACACACAGGCAATCAGTAATTAATTTTTGCAATTTTAGTGTGCTCTTTGGTTCTAGCTAATGGCAGCGTTCCCATTAAAGAACCTCTTGAATTAATATGCTTTGGTGTTATTGAATTTTAAATAAGAGCCTGTAGTTTTGTTCTATCATTCTCCATTGGTAGAGCTAATAGCATATTACAGTTTACCCACATCACGTGCAATGTTCTTTTTTGTCACATAGGTGGCGGATGCAGATTAGGAAGGCCCTGTCTCCTTCCCAGAAGTCTACTTCTACTGCTACTGCAAATCTTGAAACTGAGATCAAGGAGGATGAAGATGTTAGATTGCTTAACGAAATGGAAGAGTTAACCTATGCAATGGAACGCAAGAAAAAACAGGCAAAAATGCTTCTTGCAAAAAGACGAGCCAAGGTTTGGCATTTTTCCCACTCGCTCTGCACGTACATATTCTGAGAAACAAGCTTACCAGCAATGTGTCTATTTCAGTATTACTTGTTCAGTTATCCAGTATTTCTCATGAAGCTCTCTCTTGCTTAACTTCATACGCGTATACCAGGATAAGGCACGAAAAGCAACGGGGGTACAAATAGATGCACTGGAAGATGGTTATGTTGACCATGAGTTGTTTTCCCTATCGTCCATCAAGGTTAAATACTGTGCTTCTACTTCATCATCCTTATAAAGAGAATATGGTTCCTTGCTTTGCATTGAATTATCTGTGAATCCATATTTTTTGAAAGAATTTTATGTCGATCCACTGTGCTGGATCCTCGGAACATTCTTTCTTATATGTCGCCTTGTAGTTGTAATTTGCGATTGTCTACAGCTGGTGGTGTGATACTTCAGAAGTTTTGACAATTTTACAAGTAGGATGTCAGGGACCTGATATAAGTAAGAACAAGAAATTGAAGCTTAAGTATGATGGCACACAATCATCACCTTGTCCTTTTATGAGTTCAGAAAGTTATTTTTGTTTTTGTTTTCTAAAGGGAATTCAAGAAATTATTAAGCTGTCTACAGAATTATCTTGTAGCCATGCCTCTCCTAATAAACTGTTGGATTGCAGGTTTAACTGAAGGTTGTGATACAAAACTATTGATATTCAACAGGCATATTTGATGTGCTGGTCTCGCATTCTGTTTATCTATTTGGTTGTACTGTTGGCTTTTCAGGGGAAGAAAGATCTGGTTGCTGTTGATAATGATGAGTTTCCTGGTGAGATGGATGACGTGAAGGATAGTGACGATGAAGAAAACAGGGAGGAACGTCCCAAGGATTCTTCTAGTGATATAGACTCTGATGTAGAACGCAGAAGGTCAGTCAAACGGTTCCAATGATGCTGTCAATCACCTATTCTTCCTTGTTGATTCTGCAATATTATGCTATCCTCAATGTTCTTAGGTATGATGAACAAATGGAAAATATTCTTGACGAGGCTTATGAAAGATTTGTTGCCAAAAAGGAGGGAAGTACAAAGCAGAGG